CTAGGGATGTTAACGTTTTCATTTTTCAGAAAAACGATCGTTTCGTTATGAAAACGACGACGAAAAATCGAAAACGAAACGATCGTTTTTAAAAACGATCGTTTTTTTAAAAAGTTCGTTTTGTAAAAATGGTCGTTTTTAAAACAATCGTTTTTCAAAACGCCCGTTTTTAAAAACGATCGTTTTGAAAAACGATCGTTTTTTCTAAAATTCGTCGTTTCGTTAACGATTGTTAACGACGACCCTTTGTTAACGATCGTTAACGACGGACCTTCGTTAACGATCGTTAACGACGACCTTTCGTTAACGATCGTTAACGAAGAGAGGAAACTGACCTGAAGAGCATCTGTACTTATCATTGAGTAGTTTTTAAGAAAATATCAAGGAGTTTTAACTCCCCCACAACTGTTAAACTTCTTGTAAAACGACATTCAATAAGGTTGCATGTAATTTTTTTAAAGTTCGTCGTTTCGTTAACGATCGTTAACGACAACCCTTCGTTAACGATCGTTAACGACGACCTTTCGTTAACGATGACCCTTCGTTAACGATCGTTAACATAATTGTCAATAAAAAATTTTTTCAAAAACGATCGTATTTTTTAAAAACAATCGTATAAAAAACGGTTGCAAATCGTTTTAATAAAAAAGATTGTTTTCAAAAACGATCGCTCTTCGTTTTCTAAAAGTTCAAAACGAGTGGGTCGTTTTTAAAAACGATAGTTTTTTCCGAAAACTTAACGATCGTTTTTGAAAACGAAACAAAACAACGATCGTTTAACGATCGTTTAACGATCGTTTACAAAAACGATTAACAACCCTAATTCCTACTATATGAAGTCTTATCTACCCAAGTATATATTCAATCCTATTCCTACTATTATGAAGTCTCCTCTACTCAAGTATATATTCAATCCTATTCCTACTATATGAAGTCTCCTCTACCCAAGTATATATTCAATTCTATTCCTACTATATGAAGTCTCCTCTACCCAAGTATATATTCAATCCTATTCCTACTATATGAAGTCTCCTCTACTCAAGTATATATTCAATCCTATTCCTACTATATGTAGTCTTCTCTACCCAAGTATATATTCAATCCTATTCCCACTATATGAAGTCTCCTCTACTCAAGTATATATTCAATCCTATTCCTACTATATGAAGTCTCCTCTGCCCAAATTTCTTTGTTCAGATACTAATCAAAAGAAGTACAAAACTGCAAAAATCCAATTTTGTATTAGGAAATCCAATTTTTGAGACGCAACACATGGGCGCAAAGTTGTGATAAATTTCAGGATGCAAAATTAATTGCTAAATTTTTCAAATTTAGTGGTAGATTACAGAAAAACAGAAAATTGTTCTAATTAGAAAAGTCAATAAATTGATTGATGTCCAAAAAGTGTAACCCAAGCCCTAGGAATTGTCATGAAAGTAAAAAAGTATGCTGAAAAATGTAAAAAAAAAATATATAAAATAATTAAGCGATTCCTAGTTTTCTATGTTGTTTATGCATTTACAAGTTTACAACCTGCAGAATGAACAATTGTTAAACTTTTTTAATCTAAATAGTTTAAAATGTTGAAAACTGAAAAATGCAGAAAAACAAGTGTGTGCAATGATGCATTTAACTAAAGTATGTTTAATTTAATATAAAACTATTTTCATTTATTTTCAATCCTGTTTCAAGTTGCAAGTTACAAAAAGAAAAAAATATAATTAAAAATTGCCACGCAGTACAGTTGACATTTAACCAAATACATTTTGGCTTGAATAAGAGTTTAAAGTTCTCGCTTTTGCATGCTTTTTGCATGCTTTTTTGCATTCTTTTTGCATGCTTTTTGGGAAATTTTCAGAAACCTTTTTAGCAGTTTTCTCCGTGCAGCAAAAAGTACAAACTTGTTATTTTCCCCTTTTTAAAAAATGGACCCAATATCTTTCACAAAGAAATTGAGTTATTGTCACAATCTCAAATGTTCTTATCCCTATATCCTTGCCAACTGATATTTTAAACATTCGGTTGCAAAGACAAAGGGAAAAGGAAATCCGAGTTTGTGGCAAAAACTCAATTCCTTAATTAGAAAAGTTCGTTATGTCTGGATAATAATCTGTTAGCAATTCCTATCATCTTGCATCTACAGTTACATATATTTTATCCAAGTCTTGGAGATTCTATCAACATTTTTTTTACTTCACGTTAGACTAAAGTTATTTTTTACTTCACGTTAGACTAAAGTTAATTTTTACTTCACGTTAGACTAAAGTAAATAGGGTTGATTTATTTATTCAATCTAATTGTGGGGTTATTGATAAGACAAAAATATGTTTTGCCTTCCTAATATGTAACCAAATAAGTTTGCTTTTCTTATATGTGTGCTGAAGCTATAAAGCTGAACTTGAATATGAATCCAAATCTGAATTTTCTCACTGAACGATCGTAGGGAGGTTGTATATCGTGCATTGCCATCTTACAAAACATTTTGCTTTCAGTCCCTTTAACCATATTGCTTGCTTTCTTTCAACCCTTAAATATATGCATCGTCTTTCTATTGTCATGTTTCGAATGATTAAAGGGAGTTACCTAAAAAATTTCTCCACAATACTACATTCTCAGTTCAAGTACCATACATTAACCTATTCTTGTATGGTAATAAAGTTGCAAGAAATCAAAATCAGAGAAGCTATTAGACCACATAAGCCGTACAAGTAATATCACATAAATTTGACCTGAAATAGTTGTAAGTCAGAACCAGAAAGGTGTGGAATAGGAAGCCGACATTAAAGCAATATTTAAGCTGTATTTGATGTTGTTGCAAAACAGATGCTTTTACAGTAGATTAATAATAAATTGTTGTTGTACATTGGACAATTTAAAATTATAACAAAAGGCTTAGAGCCGTCTTTCTGGTTGGCACTGTACTTCTACCGAGTGAACGGTTATTTTCGAACAGTTTGTTGTAAGGGAAGGTAGAATGGACTGTGAAAAGTAGAAAGGACATGTGGGAAGGTAAAAACTTGGGAAGGTAGAAAGGGCTTAAAAAAAGGTAGAAAGGGATTGGGTAGGTAGAAAGGTCTGGGGAAGGTAAAAAGGACAGGGAAAGTTAAAAGAGTCTTGGGAAGGTAAAAAGGACAGGGGAATGTAGAAAGGTCTGGGGTAGGTAGAAAGATCTAGGGAAGGTAAAAAGAACAGAGGAAGGTAGAAAGAGCTGGGGAAGGTAGAAAGGACAGGTAAATGTAGAAAGGTCTGGGAAAAGTATAAAGGACATGGGAGGGTAGAAAGGGCTGGGAAAGGTAGAAAGGACGATGTTAGATACCTTCTCAAAGGGTTTTTTCCAAGTGGCAACTTCCCAAGGGTATTTTCCCAAGCGGCAACTTCCCAAATGTGCAACTTCCCAAGTCGGTCCTAGATACAACGCTCGGCCCCCTAGCCCATCCAAACCGCGGCGCTCGGCCCTCATTGCAGCCTTCGGCGCCTCAGAGGGCCTAACCTAACCTGTGGGAAGTTGTCGCTTGGGAAATTGTACATTTGGGAAGTTGCCACTTGGGAAATTGTCACTTGGAAAAGTACCTAAACCGAAAGGACTGGGGAAGGTGGAAAGGACAGAGTCTGAAAAAGGTAGAAAGGACAGGGAAAGGTAAAAATGTCTAAGGAGGGTGGAACGGGAGCAGCAACTTCCCAAGTCGGTCCTAGATACAGCGCTCGGCCCCCTAGCCCATCCAAACCGCGGCGCTCGTCCCTCATTGCAGCCTTCGGCGCCTCAGAGGGCCTAACCTAACCTGTGGGAAGTTGTCGCTTGGGAAATTGTACATTTGGAAAGTTGCCACTTGGGAAATTGTCATTTGGAAAAGTACCTAACACCGAAAAGACTGGGGAAGGTAGAAAGGTCTGAAGAATGTAGAAAGGACAGTCTGAAGAAAGTTGAAAGGACAGGGGAAGGTAGAACTGAGGAGGGTGGAACGGGAGGTTTGAAAACAAGGGGTAATCAAGGAAGATAAAAAGGGCTACATAGAAATACGCAGGGGGGGGGGGGCTCCAAATCAATTTTAATCAAAACCAATCCAAATATATGAAATTTTATCTAAAAAATAATTAACTGTTTTCCTACCCATATCATTATTCCTTCATGTTTCAATATAATTCCCATTTCCTGTGCTATACATCCGTATATAAAAGACACTAGACCATCTAACATGTTTCGCATTTCGAAAAAAAATGTTAACCATAAAAAATATGAATGTTACAACTAAATGGTAAGCTTGTTTCCATGTGTGAGGGGGGGGGGATCTTCAATGGGTATCTTCCCAGGTTTCCCAGGTTTCATGTACAGTAAAACCCGTAATAACGAATACATCGGAAGAATTTATCAAATGTCGTCTTGACAATTTTCAGTGAGTTTTATACAATATTACGTGAATTTCAGTATTTGTGAAAATAAATATATAGCCATGAATATGCGGGAACAGTTTTAAAGAGTTCCATATAATTATTTAATTAAAAAACAAAATATCTGCAACATTCCATTATCAGAAAATGAAGAATACGACATTTGATGAATTCTTTCGATGTATTCGTTATTAAGGGGTTCACTGTATAATAAATAGTGTTACTAGCACGCATTTGTGAGGACGTACAACTAAGGTGAGAACCAGGAAACTGTGGAATATGAAGACGACTGTTATACTTTAAATAGTCCTACAACGATCAGTGCAGTGTCAATTAATAAGGTGATTTTTTAGCTATATAGTAAACCAACATCAGTTGATTTAAACATTGATATAAGGTCGTCTTCCTATTCCACGGTTTTCTGGTTCTCACTCTACATACAAAGAGAATTATGGAGAATTACTAGAAAGATTGTACCCCAACTCTTTACTTGCCACTGCCCCTTTGCAACAGGGAGTCCCAATAAATGTGGGAATTAAGAGACGAATTGAACATCGTCTTTGATTTCCAATAATTGATATATGACATAAAGTGCATTAAAAAAACTGAGTTTTCCAAAATGTGGTTTGCCTTCTTTGTATTTTTAAAATTGACGGAGATATTAAACATTTAAACAGTTTTGTTGATTTATTATTAACTGGAATCTGGACAAAGGAAATGAGTCTTTGTCACAAACTCTGATTTTCTAATCACTATATCTTTGGAACCAAATGTTGTAGACCTTTGATATTTCAAACTATGAATTCTGTTAAATCAAATAATCAGAGTTTGAAATATCAAAGGTTTACAACATCGGGTTCTAAAGATTTTGGGGTTTATATATTTGATTTTGTTACAAAGACTCAATTCCTTTCCCAACATCTCCGGCAATTTTGTAGGTGGAATGTATGGAAGACCACGATTAGTAGTTTTAGGTGTTAAATGTTTTAACTATGATACTACAAAATCATTTTTACGAAATAATCCCGCTTGGAACAAAGACGATATAGAACTTGTCATTTAATGTTCATTGGGACACCCTGTATATCTGTGATATTGGTTCGTTACAGAAGTACGTCGTAGATAAACCTTGGCATAAAGACATGCATTCAATACTTTAATCGGATCCATTCCACAAAAAGTGCGAGGAAAAGATTGAAAAGTAGATAAGAGATAAAAGGTTTACAATGTCCTACCAGATAAAAGGTTTACAATGTCCTACCAGATAAAAGGTTTACAATGTCTTACCAGATAAAAGGTTTACAATGTCCTACCAGATAGAAGGTTTACAATGTCCTAGCAGATAAAAGGTTTACAATGTCCTACCAGATAAAAGGTTTACAATGTCTTACCAGATAAAAGGTTTACAATGTCCTACCAGATAGAAGGTTGTCCTACCAGATAAAAGGTTTACAATGTCCTACCAGATAAAAGGTTTACAATCTCCTACCAGATAAAAGGTTTACAATGTCCTACCAGATAAAATAGGAAAATGTGACTTGAAATTATTCCAAGAGAAACAAACATTTTATCTGAAAATCCAAGTTTTCTAAAAGAGTAACAAGACAGAAAACAAGATTTCAGACTTTTTACTGATTTTGGGATTTTCTAGAAATTTGCAAGAAATATTATTTGTGGTAACTTGATCATAAGTATTATTGTGTACGGTGGGACTCATAAAACTGTGGAAAGGAAGACGACATTTCATTTTGGTCATTTCATGTTGCTTAAAGCAGATAGTTTTCCTATTAGCTTGAAAATCAACCATTGAAGAGAATTTTGAGTACACTGCACTTCTACTGTAATTGAGCTAATAAATTGAGTCTGAAAAATGTCTTCTTTCAGTTTTCTTGTTCTTAAAGTGTACTAGCTTGGGAACCGAGCGCTGTCAAGATGTTAATAAGTTACTATCACACTAAAGCGATTTTACCGGGAAACTAAATTTTCTCTATTAATGTCAACCCACTCAACTTAGAAACTCAAAACCAAGCTAAGAACATTCTCGAGGGTCTCAAAATTCTCACTCAAAACCTGTGGCAAATCCGTAAGGGGTCCCTGAGTTATGATCTGACAAACTAACAAACAGAAAGACAGGCAGAGATTTCGACTTTATAAATAAAGATATAATAATTATCTGAATTTTGAATGATTATGTAATCATGTAATCATTTAATCTTGTGATCTTGTGATCTTGTGATCTTGTAATCTTGTAATCTTGTGATCTTGTGATCATGTAATCATGTAATCATGTAATCATGTAATCATGTGATCTTGTGATCTTGTGATCTTGTGATCTTGTGATCTTGTGATCTTGTGATCTTGTGATCTTGTGATCTTGTGATCTTGTGATCTTGTGATCTTGTGATCTTGTGATCTTGTGATCTTGTGATCTTGTGAATTGTAATCTAGTGATTTTGTGATCATGTGATAATGTGATGCTTACGTGATTGTGAAATCTTGAAATCTTGAGATCATAAGCTTGCTTTAATGATATTAATAAAAAAGAGTAATCACAGCACTATTAAAAGCTTAGTGCATATGCACCATACTGGATGAAATAATTCTGTACTGTGTCTAGGCAGTCTGCCGGCCACTAGGCACTAAGTTAGCAGTATTGTGTATGAATTTAAATCAACTGGTGTTTGTACACAATGACCTTGTAATGGCGCTTTATTTTTAAAATATATAAAATCACTAAACCTCCTTGAAATAAAACAACAAGCTGAAATTAATTTAAGAAGAATGTGGGGTCGAGGGGGGGTGCCGGGGTGGATTTTTTTCTTTTCATAATACTATTGCCATTGTGCTGCTGAGGTCAAAATTGAAAAGTCAGATACAGTTTGACCCTCAACTTGGTGTCCTTTAAAAAGCTTGTTCTTTTTACAAAAACTGTATACGCATATTGAAATTAAAGATATTTTTGGAGAGAAAATTCGTTTGCCTGATTGTTCAACCCATTGATCTTTCAATCTTAACTTTTTAATCTAACAGAATTCATAGTTTTAAATATCTATGGTCTACAGCATTGGTTTTCAGATAGAACGACATTAGAAAATCAGAGTTTGTGGCAAATACTCAATTTCTCATAAAAGGTCTATCAGAGTTTCCTGTCATTTCAGTAGGTTGAACAAAGAGATAGGATTTCTTCTTAAATCTAAGATTTTTTAACAGTTGTAGTGATCATTAGGATTTTAGGACGTGTTAAAATGTTGCTTTTAAACAGCATTCTTTGCTCATAATCATAAATCTCAAAGTTTCGCGGATTTTTCTGTTAACATTGATGGATTTTCTAGAATTTAAAAGATCAACATTTTTCCAGGCACAATTTTTCAATTTTTTTTGGCCCCATCGGTTTTGCTGTTTTACATTTGATGGTACAAACAAACACCAAAGCCAAATACATATATAGATACCTTATTTAAACTTATTTTTGTGCTTAAAACTTTATTAAAACAAAGAGGTGCTAATACTTAAAGCACAATATGTAATTATGTGAGCATTATGCAAATGTTTTACAGAAATAATTTAGGTTCCATTAAGCTGATTTAAGTTCCATACAGAACTTGAATTGTCCATGTTCAGTCCTCTCCACTCTTCACATCTAAAAGTAAAATAATTGTAAAAAACTATCGTTATTATAAATTATCCAAAACTTACTGGTGCAATTGAAGAGCTACGTCCACGAGATTTAAGTTTTGCCAAAGCTTGTTCAGTTAAGTCTGCTGACTCCTGAGAGGAAGCAAGAGAACCCTGAGTTTGTCTGTACTTAGCCAGGTTCAGAGCTGCTATCTCCTCTGCCTCTTCAATTTGCTTCTTGTAGGTTCTGATTTTACCCTGGAGTTGATCAATGAGTCCCTGCATACGCTCATGGTTCTTCCTGTCCTCATCCTGCTGATAGGTCAGTTCCTGGATCTTACGCTCAGACTTTCTCATTCCCTTCTGGGCATCAGACAAACGCCTGTTTTCAGCATCCAATTCGGATTCCAGCTCCCGGATGCGGGTATCCATTTTCCCCATGGCTTTCTTGCCACCCTTAAGAGCATTTTGCTCAGCATCATCTAGTCTAGCACTCATATCTTTGACCTGGCATTCAAGTAGCTTGCGATCTCTTTCAAGAAATTGGGCAACTTCTTGTTCTGCTCTTAGCTCATCAGCAAGACGAGCAGCATCAATCATAGCTCTTTGAGCCTTCTCTTCTGACATAGCAGCCTCAGATGCCATCTCATCCAGGTCGGACTAAAAAATTCAGAAATTAAGTTATTAACAGAATAATTGCGTACTTACTAGTAATTGTAACAGAATAACTTTAAAACTACTTACCATAAGAGTCTGCATTTCAGCATCAAGCTTCATTTTTCCACCTTGAATTGCCTGGTTGACACAAGTTTGATCTCCAAGAGTTTCATTGGTATCACAAAGTTCCTGCTCTACCATTCTTCTTGATCTGTCTGCTTGCTCAAGCAGAGTACGAGCTTCTTCAAGAGCATTTTGATTGGCATGAGCCTTTCTGTCAGCAGCAATCAAGTTGTCATGAGCAACCTCTTTTGCTCTGCAAGCATCCTCAAATCTTCCTTGGGTTTCTCTAAGACTCAGTTGATATTTCTTGATGATTTTTTGAGTCTCAGCATTTGCTGCATTAGCATGCTCCAGAGAAGTATCTAGATCTAGAACATCTGTTTCTAACTTTTTCTTCATACGGAGGGCTTCGGCTTTTCCTTTGGATTCTGTTTCAATGGCAGACTGCATACCTTCTAGAGCCTTGCCCATGTTTTTCCTTGTTGATTCAAATTCCTCTTCTTTCTCAGCCATTCTTCTTTCAATTTCCTGTCTCACCTGAGTAAGCTCAAGTTGGGCTCGGAGAACCTTATTCTCTTCCTGTTCAAGGGCTCCCTCAGCTTCAGACAGAGCAGCTTCAAGCTCAAGTTTTTCAGCCTCAAGGCGCTTCCTAATTTTGTCAATGTCATGGATTGATCGCCCTCCCTCGCTAATCTGGTCCATGATATCCTTGATCTCATTTGACAGGGTCTTGTTTTCCCTTCTTACCTCATCCAATTGAAGGACAGCTTCCTCATATGCAGACTTGACTCTGAACAAATCAGAAGAGGAGTTTCTTGTCTCCTTCTGACTGTTATCAAGATCCATGCTTAAACTGTCAACCTTAAGCTTCCATTCAGCTACAATCCTATCAAATTGCTTTGCTTTTTTCTCCATTGAAGAGTTGAGGATTTGAGCTTGATCCAATTGAACAGACATGTTGTCAAGCTCTGATTGAAGTTTCTGCTTATTCTTTTCAAGCTGTCCAAGTTTGGAACCCAGTTGGTTAATGGTGGATTCTGCTTCTGACAATCTACCTTGCATTTTCAGCTTGGACATTTCCAGTTCCTCAGCTTTTCCAACAGCATCAGTTTCATACTTAGCTTTCCACATATCTGATTCACCCTCAGCTTTGTTGAGTTGTCTCATCAAATTTTCTTTAGCAGAAACTTCCTCATCGTAATGTTCCCTCATTCCATCAACATCATGTTCAGCATTCTTGAATTTTCCCAGAAGAGATTGGCGTTCTTTTGCCTCATCATCAGCAATTCTACGCTGTTCATCCAACTGAGAAGCAAGTGCAGATTTTACCTTCACAAGCATACTGGCAGAATTCTCAAAAACCTGAAGCTGACGAAGAAGATCTGCATTTTCAGCAGCCATTTTTCGCTTTGCACCCTCAAAATCACCAAGAGTAAGATTAGCCTCTTCAATCTTCTTGCTGAATTCATTCAATTGACTGCACAAAGTTCTGTGAGATTTTTCAGCAGAAGCATGAGATCTGTTGACCTCATCTGTAGCAGACCTCACATCTGCAATCTCATGCATAATGTGCTGCTTATCCTTTTCAATCTTTCCCTTCATTTTAGATAGCTGGTCAATTTGTTCTGTCATTTCAGCAATAGCATCTTGATGCTTCTTCTTAAGAGAAACTAAAGTTGATTCTTGATAGATATGAGCTTCTTCTAAATCACGTCTGAGCTTGGTAACCTCTGCTTCTCTTTTCTTATTAAGCTCAACCTGAGCTGATGTTGCTCCTCCAGCCTCTGCCAACCTTTCCCCAAGATTTTCTAGCTCCCTGGCAAGATCAGATCTTTGGCGTTCAGCTTTAGCTCTAGCCTGACGCTCAGCTTCAAGTTCTTCTTCCATTTCCTCAACTCTGGCCTGGAACTCTTTAATGCTCTTCTGAACTCTAGCAACAAGACCCTGTTCATCTTCTAATTTAGAAAACAATCCACTTGAATCCTTTTCTTTTTTCATGATAGCTGCTTCAAACTCTTTCTTAGCTCTTTCAAGATCTGCAACTATCTCCTGAGTGATTTTCAGGTCTCCCTCTATCTTTCTGCGCTCCTTTTCAACATTAGTTCTAGCACGCTTTTCCTTTTCAAGTGAACCTTCAAGTTCATCAAGAGTTTGTTCAAGCTTATTTTTTATTTGATTCAGATGAGAAACCTTTTCCTCTGCAACTTGAAGGTCTTCTCCAGCTTTGGAAGCATTCTCATTCAAGTGTTTCTTTTCTTTGTTCAGCTTATTAATAACTTCATCTTGGTTTGCAACCTCATCATTAAGACTTCTAATGGTATGGTCTCGGTTGGTCTTCTCCTGTTCCAGTTTTTGAATAGCCATATCTATGTCTTCAATATCTTTCTTTACTGCTATGACTTCTTGCTCCAGTACTTTCTTGTCTCCAGTAGCCATTTGTCTTTCCTCCTCTTTCACTATAAGGATTTCCTGAGAAACAAGTAACTGACCTTCTAAATCCGCTTTCTGAGAATTCATTTTTGCTTGTTTTTCATGATATTCAGACATGTTTCCTTGCTCCTTTTCTAGTTGCTTTAATAATGCTTTGGTTTCCTGCTTGATATTTTCATTCTCAAGGAGCAGACTTTCTTTGGTTTTGAGCTGTTGATCATAAGCACCATACTTCTCATTGGCCTTCAATTCGAGAAGACGAAGTTCTTCCTCGGGATTAGCTCTGCCAATCATGGGACGGGTCTTTTGAATCATGACGAACCATCCCCAATCTCTGAGAGCAATGTACTTTCTGAAATTTCTCTGACACACCTTTATCAATTCTCTTTGATCTCTCTTTACTCTGAAGAAAGCACTTCTGATTCTGAGAAGAGCTTGTCCCTGCAAGTAACGAACAAGTCTGATAACAATATCATCTCGTTTCTCCTCCAGGAATGCCAAAGCACCAGCTCTGAAGAAAACTAAGGTGTGCCCAAGACGATATCTTTCTCTGGGAAAATCTACTTTGTCCATCAGTGCATAAGAAGCAGTCTTATTGTCAGCAGAGCTATTGATCTCTGCAGCACCAAGAACTGCATATCTTGACTTAAAATCAGGGTAAAGCATTCTATTGGGGAAACCTCTCATGCAAATTCTGATACCTTCAAGTACACCATTACATGTCAGCTGATGCATAATAAGAGGAGGTTCAACATCTCCAGGCTTCTTGTGGGTATTGGGTACTAGACAACGTACAAAGTGAGGTTCACAACTATGAAGAGTTACCATCAACTCTCCTAAAGAAACAAGATAGACAGAGGACACTGTCTTTCCACCACCTCCCTTCTTCTTCTTCTTGCCATCGTCCTTTGGTGTTACAGAAGGTTGTCCTGCATGATCCCTCCACAAGTGAACAAGAAGCTCAACACTAGAACTAGACTTGAATATTTCAACAACTGAGTCATTTACAGGATCTTTGTTCTTCTCAAGCCAATTGGTGACATTGTATGACACAATTCCAGCATAATGGCTGAGGGCAAAATGAGCATTTTTGTCCGTTTTTGACTGAGGCTTCAAGAACACAGGCAATTTACCAAGAGCTGCTTTTAGCTTTTCTTCAAAAGATTTATCAGTGGCTTTGGGGAAAAGGGATTCCTCCTCCAAAATAGCCCAGATTCCCATTGGCTTCTCAAACATGATAATACATGCAGCCAAATCCATACCAAAATCAACCATTTCCCAGTCAATACCTTCCTTGACATATTCTTCTTGTTCTACAACAAACATGTGGTGATTGAAGAACTGCTGAAGCTTTTCATTGACAAAATTGATGGATATCTGCTCAAAGCCATTGTACTCAAAGATCTCAAATCCTGCAATGTCCAACACAGCGCAAAAGTTATTTTTCTTAAGAGTTGGGTCAATAAGTGTGTCATTACACTTCTCAATCAGCCACTTGAATACTCTATCAAAGATAGATCTGGCAATTCCGCCTACTGAATTAATTCCTTGAACACATGATTGTCCCTTGGTTACCCATTCAGTTCCAACCTTTATCCTAGGTTTGCAGAAAGCTTTGATCATGGCATTGGCATCAACTCCAAGAAGAGCAGCAGTTTTTCCTGGGAATGTATCAGGTCCAGTGAGTTCACACTCAGCCTGGTCATCACGACCTTTGGTTTTGAACTCAATACCACCAAAAGTCATGACAGCAGCTGTAAGCATGTAGCACTCAAACTTTTCCTTTTCTCCAAAACCAAGAACGTTGAAAGCATCTTCAGTATACTCCAACTCTTCATTGTCATCAATAGAAGCAACAGTTGTTTTTCCTTGGGATACATATGTGTAATCATAAATATCACTGCTAAGTTGGCACATAGCTCTCAATCCTGAGCCAATACCATCTCCATAAGGTTGAATAAGCTGATAGAAGATATGGTATGACCTTTCAACTGATTGCTGTTCAGTGATACGGGATTTCTCTAGTAGGTAGGATACAATATCACAACCGGCAAGCTTACCAGAAGCGGTGAAATGAATTCTGATAAATTTACCAAAACGAGAGGAATTGTCATTCCTGGAAGTTTTGGCATTACCATAAGATTCCAGAATGGGATTAGTCGCAACAATCTGGTCTTCAAGGGAAACCTTCTTTTCAGCTCCCTTTTTGGTGCTGCTAGCAACTATGGCAAGATAGGTGATAACCTTCTTGGTGTTTTCAGTTTTTCCAGCTCCAGATTCTCCAGTAATCAACATAGCTTGATTTTTGCTGTTTAACAGCATGCCACGGTATGCAGTTTCAGCAATGGACCAAAGATGGGGAGGACATTCATTACGCCTCTTACCCAAGTATATCTTAGCAACTCTATGGGTGTAGATAGGATACCTCTTGTAGGGGTTAACAACGACAACAAAAAGTCCAGAGTAGGTATGGATCATCTTAGCCTGGTAACGGGTCTTGAGGTTCCAGAAAACAGAGGCATCATTGAGGAAAGTAAGATTTACCATGTCCTCACATTTCTCAAACTTGGGAGGGTTCACCTTTCCAACTTCAGAAGCTTTCAGGGTGAACTTCTCATGGCCCACAGCAACAACACATTTGCTTGCTGGGTCCTCAAGATCTCCTGATTCAATGGCACCTTCACGATATCCTCCAGTCTTTGGATCCGGAATCCAAACAGACTTTTTGGAATCATATGGCTTAGCCTGATCTGATCGCTTGACCTCCAGAGAAGGAACCAGAAACTCTGTTGGATCTGGGTCAACTTGCCCCTTGACAATTTTTACGTGTCCAGGCATGGTGGTCCTAGTTGCAATTAAAAGGATTAATTTACAGTAAACCCTTGGAAACTAAAAATAAAGACTTTTTTGAATAGTGGAAGGGGGATGGTACTAGGTAGGGATCCATAATTTTGAACTTCAGCTTTAAATGGGTATAGTTATTGACCTGGGATAAGAAAGGAAATGTTGTGACCGATATTTTAAAAAGAGTCAAAGAAATTAAATCTTTGCCACAAACTCTGATTTTCTTATCTGTAATAATAATAATAATAATAATATAATGATATATCTTTGCAACCCAAAGCCGTAGAACTTAGATATTTCGAACTATTAAATCTGTTAAAGCAAATTATCGTTGTTTAAATATCAAAGGTTTACAGCATGTGGTTGCAAAGATATAGAAAATAGAAAATTTTATTTTGTGGAAATTCCTCAATTTCTTTACATTGATTTAAAAAGCATTTATGTCTATTCTAACGAAATTCTATAAACTTTATTATTTCATCATTTTTTAAACAAGTATTTTTCCTTATAACTGCAGTAAACAATTTGAAACGGAATTTTATTTGTTATTAAGCTCAAAATTTGTAGGTCTTTAGATATTGAGCAAAGATTTTTTCTTACATAAAATTCAAAACTCAAACCAATAGTTTGTTTGTATCATAAAAATATAAATGGACAAAGTTGAAAACAAAGCAAGGCTACGAGAATAACTAACATTTTTAAAAACAAAATTAGAAATCTTTTTCAAAATAAAAAATGAAGATTTTATGGAGAAAAGTTGAGAATTTTATTTGGTGGGGGGGGGGAGAGATAGAATTTGTGATACCTTGTCGAGTTATAAGTAAGGAGTAAGGACTGACTATTGAACAATGATGACCTCGTATTTATACCAAATGTTCTGACCGGCCGCGGCGTCTCACTCGCTTAGCGTGAACTTAACTATGGAAAATTTAAGATTTATGTAAATATGCAGTATACTGTATACTGCATATTTGCTTCCTAAAACATATATATTTCAAGTTTTCTTACATTTAAAGGGGCGGATAGCGTAATTCTAAGTGCCATGTCCGAATCACAACGGTACCCTTTAAAGCTTTGTCTGATTAATAATGTCATGTCGACGTTTTTTTATTTTTGAAAACTGTTTAATTTTCATTTGGATTTCTCACTTAGATTTTCGGCTCGTGTCTCTTTAATAAAATGAGACTTGTTCTTATCTTGTTATAATCCTTTTACACAGATAAATATAAATACAGATTTGTTTATGTTTATAAACGTTTGAAAACATTGAAAACATTTAAACACTCATGCCGACAGAAGAAATAGTTGTTAACCTCTTCACAAGACTGTTGTATACTTTACAATAACGTTGTCAAATCTCTCTTTACAAGGCTGTTGTATACTTTACGATAACGTTGTCAAATCTCTCTTCACAATGCTGTTGTATACTTTACAATAACGTTGTCAAGTCTCTCTTCACAAGGCTGTTGTATACTTTACAATAACGTTGTCAAATCTCTCTTCACAAGGCTGTTGTATGCTTTACAATAACGTTGTCAAATCTCTCTTGACAAGGCTGTTGTATACTTTACAATAACGTTGTCAAATCTCTTCACAAGGCTGTTGTATACTTTACAATAACGTTGTCAAATCTCTCTTCACAAGGCTGTTGTATACTTTACAATAACGTTGTTAAATCTCTTCACAAGGCTGTTGTACACTTTACAATAACATTGTTAAATCTCTTCACAAGGCTGTTGTATACTTTACAATAACGTTGTTAAATTTCAAGTGATCCCTCTCCATAGAAATTGCATGGCGGTAACATCTATCTTTCAATCTTAAGAAATTGATTAATGCTTTTCAACTTGGAAGTAATTTTTTTTCTTAAAATCTACCAAAACTAGGAAGGTGAATGACAATGACAATTTTGACAACTGAACTCTGACAATTATATATTTATTATTTTTCTGCCGCAATGTATTGCTCACTCTAAAAGTTGGGAAGGGGGCGGGTGGGGTGGGGGGGTTGCTTAATATTGCAACCTCCCACTGAGGTATACCTGTATACCTCTATACCCAAGTATTTGTATACCTGTATAATCTGTATATCTGTAAAGCTGTGTAATCTGAAAATCTGTCCACCTGTATATATCTCTATATCTGAATATCTGTATATATATATATGTATATATGTATACCCGTATACCTGTATACTTGTATATATCTGTACTGTATATCTGTTTCCTGTATATATCTCTAAATCTGTATATCTCTATATATATGTATATATGTATACCCGTATACCTGTCTATACTGTATCTGTACTGTATATCTGTTTCCTGTATATATCTCTATATCTGTAGATCTGTTTATCTGTATACCTGTATACCTGTATATCTCTATATCTCTATATCTGCATATTTATATACCTGTATACCTGTATACCTAAATACCTGTATACCTGTATACCTATAAATATGTATACCTGTATATCTTTATACCTGTATATCTGTGTACCTGTATATATGTATATCTGTATATCTGTATATCTGTATATCTGTATACCTGTATACCTGTATATCTGTATATCTGTATATCTGTATACCTGTATATCTGTATATCTGTATACCTGTATATCTGTATATGTGTATATCTGTATACCTGTATACCTGTATACCTGTATATCTGTATATCTGTATAATTTTTTTTCTAAACTTGACTAATGCTAAAATTTCGTCTCTGTAAATTCCTTTGAAGAGAAAAAAATGGTCGCATTAATCTATGTTTCGTTTCAACCCGATATGCTTAGAAAAGAAAGTCCTATTTATAAAAGACTTAGGACTTTTTTCTTCAGAATTTTAAGTCCTGTGATCTTTTGATTAAAAGTAAGATTATCCATATAGCGTTCACATAAAACTATACCAAAGATGATTCACATTATAAACTGCCAAACTGGTGACTAGTGAGAGCACTGCATTGAGCGAGCAGTATTTGAATCACAAAGTTTTGGTTTTAATTGCGCATAATTCTGAGTTATGCCGCGTACTCGGAAAAGTACGGATGTATTTAATGGAGGAGGCTGGATAGATATAATATGTAGGAACATGATAATTGATATCTTACTTAAAATTTATTTTCATAATGTTTTCACTTTCAAGTACACTTTATTTTTTATATAGAAGAATGAATAAAAACTATACTTGAAATGAGAAATGATTTGTAAAAATCCAGGGGGGGTACACACCCCCCTCCCCCCTAATTTCACTCAGGGGGGGTAATGGACTGCCACCCCCCTGAAACCGCTTATGTCGGTTTATCTGTATATCTGTATATCTGTATACCTGTATACCTGTATATCTGTATATCTGTATATCTGAATACAAGGGCATATATAGAAATATGAGCGAAAAAAAGTGGAGCTGTAAATTCAAAACATTTTGCTTTTTGGATACTTTAAAGGTATACATACAGACACAGTGCAATTGCCTTGGTAGTATAATACTTTATCCTAACTTAAAACAAAACTAGCAGAAAAAAAAACTAATATTTTTATGTTCTTCACTCTTCAGTTTCAGATTTGAAAAATGTGATAGATCTGGCATCAGGTCCCATTCCCTGTATACGCCCTTGCCTGCAGTATACCTGGATACTTGTATATACACCTAGAGAAGAAAATGTGTTCGGAAGCTACGCGTCCCAACAATGGGATTTTTAATTTTAGAAATTCTATTTTCCCCGCGGCCCATTCACGCTCCCACCCACTTGCCTAGAGAAAAAACTCAAGAATTTTCCCCATACCTTACGACCCAGGGTCAGACATAAACTGATTCATACACTAGCGTCCCTAAGCAAGCTCTATATATATTTGTGGCATGTTGCCATTGTATTTTAATTAGTATTCTGTATTTTACATTGCAGGACTTGAGAATAATATAATATAAGGGCCGTGGTCGGGCCCGTCTCTTAAAGGATTAGCTGGTCTATACAGATAGATCTTCCAGAGCAAGGAATTGTTTATATATTTGTGTCCCTTTTATAAATAAATAAACATAGATAGTTTATGTACGCAAAATCACCAAGAATTGTACAGTCCGCTACTTCAATTATAAGCGGGGTGGTTTGGTGTTTTAATGGATTGCATAATTATTAAACCACTCAGGAGTGAATTTTATTTTGAGAGTATCAAATTATCAAATTATCATATTGACGAGAACTAAAGAAGGACATGAGTAGGACTAAACTAACTTAAATTTCTCTCTACAGAACTCATGTACACCACAAGTACTCAATGACATAAGAACAGCTAATGTTCACAACCGACCTAGTTAATCTATATAATAGGAATATCTTTAAAACATCTCTGTACATTTATATCTTTCAAGATGAAAAATGTCGTCTTATGCGCAATCTATCTTTATCTATGCTTTTATTACGTTGAATGTTTATAAAATTCTTATTTGTTTACTAATATCGTCAGATGAGGGGAGGAATGCCAGCCACAATAATGTCTCCTTCGAACCACATTATCCTAATTTTTTCTGCCGAGCCACCTCGGAATTCTCGTCCTTCGTTTTTTGTGTGTTAAAAGTATCCAATTCTTGAAGATAACACTCTATTTTAAAAATCTGCCCACGCTAGGACATAAAATATGGATGGACTAAACTATTGCAATGATAACATCATGTTCGAATCTTCAAACTGATGAGAATGATGTCAAATTTGTATTCCACCTCGCAGGAATCATAAAAATACTCAATTTTTTAATGTCGTCGTCATATTTCTTAGATTCTCTCACCCTAGTGTTTGTTCATCAGTCTGGATTTTGTGATGTTTTAAAGGGAGTGTTCGTGAAAATTAATGTGGGTTTAGGCTTACGGCGAAAAATAAGCTCTTTTGATTGCTACTAATCTTACTTTTATCTGTTGTGTCCATCAGGAGAAAATTGTTAAAAACAAGTCATGCTGAAGAACGTAGCGTCCATATAAAATCATAAAGTTGCAATATTCAACTCGGATCGTAAAATAATCAATTTAATTCCAAACAAACCATTCAGATATTACAAACAAAAGTCATCGATTGTTTTTCGACGCGTTTGTATTTAGTTTATATTTCTTAATATTTTAATTTTCTTTTTAAAATAATATTTCGCTGGCGCTGGATTTTGGAACATTCCTGGGAAATATGAAAATGTCGTCTTCATTATTAAAAATCCTCGAAACAGGAATAAATGTTTTCAAAAATAACTATCAGATCATTAAAAATAAAAAATATTATGAAATATCGACAATATACGAATGCGTCGGAAAATTATCGATGATTATTGTTTGTAATATCTGAATGATTTGTTTGGAATTAAATTGATTATTTTACAATCCAAGTTGAATATGGCAACTTTCTGAATTTATCAGCATCAGACGTTTTTAACACTTTTCGCCTTATAGACGCAACATATTAGTAGCAATCAAAAACGCTTCTTTTTCGCCGTAAAAACCTATACCCCATTTTATTTTTCGTAAACACTCCCTTTAATGAAGCAAATAAGTAAGATTGGTCTATCTGCACACAACTGCTGTATACTTGTTCATTAGAAGCTACAGAGATACCTAAAATGAATGAGACGACTATACGGAATGTGTATTGTCTGTTTCCTTTTCTTCAAGGGTCTCTGCATAATAAACTGTTGAAATTTGTTTACCGAATAATTTAATATCCAGACTTCATTCAGGGCAGCTATTTAATTTAATCTTGGAATTTATGTAATTATTTTAAGAGTTTCAAGGATCGTCTTTACAGTCTCATGAGACAAATGAGTATTTAATGATAACAAAAATATTTTGTTGTTATTTTGTAATTTTAAAATTACTAAACATATTTAAAATTTTGTTCAAAGTTAAGTATTAAAATTCATAACTTTGATCTAAAGGGCTTCTTCTTTTGCTACAGTTTTTCAGTCTCGAACTACTCAAACAAAATTTTTTCAACAATTTTTTTTCAACTTTTGTTTCAAATTTTTTTTTCTACGGGCAACGCCGGGCCCTTCAGCTAATAGATGATAAAATAATTAAATAATTTATTTGTAACAATGTTTCAGCTTTAATCACGGCAGTGTATTGATAAGTAATCACAATTAAACATATATATATAATGAAATAAAATAAAGTTTTTTTAATAACATATTAGTTAATATTCTTAAGTAAGAACATGTTTTGTCTTTGTGAGTATTTTGTCCATTTTGTCTTTTCGTGATTTCAATTGTCCGTTAGGTCTTATGTAATCTTGAGTTGTCTAGTTGTCTAGTTGTCTAGTTGTCTAGTTGTGTATCAGTCGTAGAGCTCAGTTTATATTCTCGTGTTATAAATAGCTTTCATAACTTCTAGATGTTTTCGAATTGCGGCATTTCTCTGCGTCTGCTCGCTCCCCCGTGGAACTCTGAAAACCAAACCAAACCAAATATTGAATGAAAACTTTAATTTTGTTAATTCTGATTATCCTAGAACAGTGAATATACAGTGAACCCCTCAAAATTTAGTTTAGGAAGACGACTTTTCTCTTCTTTGTTTTCCACTATTTTTGTTCAGTGCATAGTGCATACAAATATAAATAACTGTCGTCTTCAGCATTTCTTTTAATCAAAAGTTTCATTTTTAAACTGCGTTATCACTGACAGAAAAATGGTTTGGAATTTTTAGCAACATTTTGAATTAAAGTAAATTAATCACAAAAAAGCATAAAGTAATTTAAGCTTATTAGTTCTCAAATATTGGTTAGCCGTTATCACTGTTTCACGTCGGGAAACAAATCTTTTTTATTTAGTTTAGTTTCCTTTGCATCAGAGGTGATTGCGATAAAAAATCTGCATCTGAAGACTCTGAATAGAAATAATATTAAACTTTATCTTTTATTATGATATTTTTTGCAAACCTTGGCGTTTCCCCATTAAAGGTATTGAGTTCAATTCTGTTCTCATCAATTTTTCTCTCTTAAATCTAAACAAGAAATATTTAATTTAATGGCTTTTCTTATGAGGGACTTGGATCTTAATTTCAATCAAATCTCCCCATCACTATAGTTTCAGAAGAAGTAAATATTTCCATTTACTGTTAGCGCCGATTGAAGGATTCATAACTCTGATTGGATAATGAGATAGATAGAAAGATAGATATTACCGCCATACTATTGCTATTGGTTCAGAATAGACAACAAACACATGACTAAACCCTGGATGGATTAGGCGCTAATGGACTCGGCATACAGAAGTGCCATCTTATCTCCAATTAATGAATTGAATGCTCGATTCACAATGGATCCCTTTAAACCTTTATCTCTGCAACCATGAGAAAGAAATCCTCTTTTCCTCTCAAATGACAAAAGATAAATGCTTACAATTTCCTTCCTTGTTTCTGTTGAATAATTTAACTTTTATTGAAACCAACAAGTTAAACAAACTAAAACATTATCAATAAGTTTTCATACAGAATTACAAAAATGTAATCCACTATTTTTTACTCAGACTAAGGTATGCATCGGAAGTGTAAATCTTGAAATTAAGGGTCATTTGAAATTACATTGACAGTCCCTTTAAAAGAAAAAAATGGCTAAACAATCTAAAAGAAAAAAGAAAAAAGAAAAAATAGAAAAATTATTCGGCCAAAACTAAGACTTTTGGTATTTTTTATCCTCTTTTGGGGACTGTGAATTGTGAAAACTTTATTTATTCATCGATCAACAAACTATCTTTGATTTTCAAGCTATAAAGGAATTGAGTTTTTGCAACAAACTCAAATTTCCCAATTCCTATATCTTTGCAACCTAATAGTGTAAACCTTAGATATTTCAAACTTTGGATTATTTGTTCTAACAGAATTCATAGTTTGAAATATCACAGGTCTCCGACATAAGCTTGCAGATATATAGGGATTAGAAAATCAGAGTTTGTGGCAAAAACTCAGTTCCTTTAGTTCCGAAGAATCCGAGCACAATAAGAAAATAAGGATGTATCTGTCATCATTGAGCAGATAAAGATTTGTTGTGAATCCGACATTCTACTTTACAATTACAAATGGGGGTCATATGAAATTAAGTCTCCAGAGTCCCTATTGACGCTAAGTTTGTTAAAAAAAAACTGTTACCTGGAGGAGAGGCTGTAATCTCCAAAATTATCATGAAAACGGAAACCCTGAAAAAAGATGAAAAGTTACTTTTTCATCCCTCTTCAATATTATATGTCAAAATTTTTTCAAACTTGCTTCAATATTAAGTTAAAGTTATGTCAAAATTACATGATTATTATGTTTGATAAAGGAAATTATTATTATATCTTTGAAACCTGAAGTTGTAAACCTCTATATTTAAACTATGATGAATGGAATAAAACAATTTATATTGTGTAGAGTAATCAGTTTCCTGAATTGAATGCCGCAGCTTTTGAAATAATAATGGATATATGTTATTGAGCAATTCAAAAATCAAAAAAGTCACTGATAAAAAAATCCAAGCGTGAAGATACAGGACCATTTTCAAAAGAATGGACTTTTCTTAATATTGTTTTTAAAACCTTTAATTATATTTTTGATAGATAAGAGTGGAATAGTAAAATTAATGAATCATCAACCGATATTAATTGTTTAATCAAGATTAGATATTCTCGATACAGAATACAGGATGCAAGATACAGAATACAGGATGCAAGATACAGAACACTTCATTCTCACAGCCAATCAAGACCAAGATTTTTCGGTTTTCCAATCTTGCAGCAAAATCTGGACCAAGTTTTACAGCCAATTAAGTACAAAAAGTGGTCAAATCAGGACGTTTTCCTCAAACTTTTTACGGCCAAATCGGAACCCCAAAAAATACCGTTTAAATACCATTTATAGATATTTCAAATCAAGGTTTTGCTTTTGCTGAGCTTTAATGTTTATTATTAATAAATACGTGTCCCATAACACATAACTATACATACGGAGTCCTAAATTACTTAACAATGTATGCACAGTGTCACACAGCATTAAAAATACTTGCAAGAATCAAGATCAGCTTAATTACTGATTTTCTTACACCTTCAGCAAAAAATTATGTTTTGATCCCAAAAAAACAAAAAGCAGTAAGAACGTCCGAAATGTTCAAGTGCAAGTAAAAAATTTTGTAATCAAATCTTTATAAAAGATTCTGTGATCTACTTCTATGATCCACCTTATGATATATCTTACAATCTATTCTATGATCTATTCTATGATCTATTCTATCGTATAATCTATCACCTGTGGAGATCTGAGAATATTATCCCAAACAAATTGTCCGGATTCTCTGCGAGGAGACGACCTTTTTGCAAAACTTTCATCAAACATTCTAAAACAATATTTTTATGACAAAAAGAAAGAAATTTCAGTGTGTTTAAAAACTTTTTTGGTTGGTAAAGGTGAAGGTCTTTATTTTAGAAATTGAATATTATAACTTAAAGGGACTGTAAGCCTAACTTCAATTGTCTCTAGATTTGAAATATGTGGTTTAACGGTCTCTAGATTCAAGATATGTGGTTTAACAGTCTCTAGATTCAGTATATGTGGTTTAACGGTCTCTAGATTCAATATATGTGGTTTAACGGTCTGTAGATTCAAGAATCAAGATATGTGGATTAACAGTCTCTATATTCAAGATATGTGGTTTAACATTCTCTAGATTCAAAATATGTGGTTTAACAGTCTCTAGATTCAAGATATGTGATTTAACGGCCTATAGATTCAAGATATGTGATTTAACAGTCTCTAGATTCAAGATAGGTTGTTTAATAGCTTTAATTTTTGTTCCAGCTAGCATTTAATCTCCGCCAGCCCTGCCATGGTAAATATTCGGAGGAGCTTCCACGAAGGATATTTTATAACTATAATCTACGCTGGTCAGAGCTCGTTTAAATTTTTAACATTCTTGAAATCTGATTGTTTTCTTTACCTCCTGCCTGAAGCTTCATATCCAGATCGTTTCCCTATTCTCCAGCCTGGAGTAAACTTATGACCCTCCAACCTCTTTTCTAGACCCATAGATCCTAGGTTCAAGTTATCCTCAGACCCTAGTGTCAACTTTCCTGGGGATTTCAGGGTTGCAGAAACAAGTTCTTAACATTAGAATTTTTTTAATTGTTTTCAAATGCAGAGACGCACTAGACATGATAGTTGAGGTGAGAATGCAGTATTGTAGAGAATTTTTTTAGAATTCATTGAGAGATTTTAAAAATATAATTGTCGCTTTTGCTGAACAATTTTACACCGTAAATAGTCTCATAGGTCTTAATTGCATTCCAAAATTATTCTCTACTATACTGCACTCTCAGCTCAACTACAGGGTGTCCCAAAAAACATGGTAATTCAGTGACGAATTCGATATCGTCTTTGTTATGAATTAGCATTGTAATACCTAATTTCAAAAGCCATAATATTATTATGTCTGCTTGAGTTTATTTTATGAAAAGGGTAGAAGACTATAAAGATGTGTCTAAACAACCGTATGCAGTCAAAACATAAACAAACAAAATGTAAACATAGCAGACGAAACTCTTACAGATTACAGCTTTCTCAGTAGGTATCACTATACTAAATCAAAGAATTATTTGAAAAGACGATATCGAATTCGTCACTGAATTCCC